AGATAGGGTGGGTGGGTGGGGCTTATATTTTTTCCTCTTTTCTTAATATAAGTAGTTTCTTTTCACAAAAAGAAACTTAAAATATGTTCAAAATTTTTGTAGGGAAATATGTATTTTGCAATTATACACCGCCGTTAGGTCTGACAACGAATAAAAAATTCATCATAATTGAGATTGAGAATTTTTTTAATTACGTATAGTTTTCTTTGAATAACACGATAGCTATTTTTAGTTTTTTGTTGGGAAAAGAAGATTACGTATATTAGAAAAATAAATTAGGGAATATAGGCCCATTTTTAATTTCTTGTTCGAAAAACAAGACTTCGTATATGAAGAAAATATGTACAAAATATAAGCCCCGCCCACCCACCCCCTCTCAATTGTAATGATTTTTTATGCATCGTGAGCCGAGGGCGGAGCTTAGGTGCAAAATCCTCATTTCTCTACAAGAAATTATCATGTGAAATAAGTTCTTAAAAGAATAAAATTTTGTGAAAAAGTGTGAATTTTGCAGTAAAACTCCGCCGCTCGGTCTGACAATGTATAAAAAAATCATTACAATTGAGATGGGGTGGGTGGGTGGGGCTTATATTTAACCCTGTCGTCTCAATATACGTAGTTTTATTTTCACAACAAGAAACTTAAAATATGTTCAACATTTTTGTAAGGAAATATGTATTTTGCAGTGATTGACCGCCCCTGGTTCTGACAAAGAATAAAAAACTCGTCATAATTGAGATTGGGATTTTTTTAATTACATATACTTTTTTTGAACAACACGATAGCTATTTTTAGTTTCTTGTTGCGAAAAGAAAATTTCTTATATTAGAAAAATAGATGTAGGAAATATAGGCCCCGCCCACCCGCCCCCTCTCAATTGTAATGATTTCTTTATGCATCGTGAGCCGAGGGCGGAGCTTAGGTGCAAAATCCTCATTTCTCTACAACAAATTATCATGTGAAATAAGTTCTTAAAAGAGTAAAATTTTGTGAAAAAGTGTGAATTTTGCAGTAAAACTCCGCCGCTCCGTCTGACAATGAATAAAACAATCATTACAATTGAGATAGGGTGGGTGGGTGGGGCTTTTATGTTACCCTGTCTTCTTAATATACGTAGTTTTTTTTTTCACAACAAGAAACTTAAAATATGTTCAAAATTTTTGTAGGGAAATATGTATTTTGCAATTATGCACCGCCCCTTGGTGTGACAACGGATAAAAAGATCATCATAATTGAGATCGGCAGTTTTTTTAATTACATATTTATTAATTATTATTTATTAATATAATTTATTTATTATATATTCTTTGAACAACACGATAGCTATTTTTAGTTTTTTGTTGGGAAAAGAAGATTTCGTTGTTAGAAAAATAAATGTAGGAAATATAGGCCCCGCCCACCCACCCCCTCTCGATTGTAACGATTTTTTATTCATTTTGAATTTCTTGTTGGGAAAACAAACTTCGTATATTTAGAAAAAATGTAGAAAATATAAACCCAGCCCACCCACCCCCTGTCAATTTTGATGATTTTTTTATGCATGGTGATCCAAGGGCGGAGCTTAGGTGCAAAACCTCATTTCTCTATAAAAAATTACCATGTGAAATATGTTCTTAAAAAAGTAAAATTTTGCAAGGAAATATATATTTTGCAATTAAACTCCGCCACTCGGTCTGACAACGAATACAAAAAATCATTACAACTGAGACTGGGTGGGTGGGTGGGGTTTATATTTTGCTCTTTCTTCTTAATATATGTAGTCTTCTTTTCACAACAAGAAACGTAAAACATGTTAAAAATTTTTGTAGAGAAATACGTATTTTGCAATTACGTTCCGTCCCTTGATCTGACAACGAATAAAATAATCATCGTAATTGAGATCGGGACTTTTTGTTAGTTACAAATAGTTTTCTTTGAACAACACGAAAGTTAAACATGTTTTCAGTTTCTTGTCGGAAATAGAAGACTTCGTATATTAAGAAAAAATATACAAAATATAAGCCCCGCCCACCCGCCCATGATTTTTTTATTCATCGTGAACGGAGGGGCGGAGCTTAGTTGCAAATGTTTTTAACCAAATTGATAACTGTTTCATTTGAAATTGTCCTTGGGTTGTAGTATATTGTATAAGGCAACTTTGTACATCTAAATCGACCTGTTAATATCTAAGATCTAAAATGTGTGTAATATTTGGTAAGGGAAATTTATCGTGTTCAATTTTTTGATTAAGTAACCCTTAATAACCAACAACTATTCTTCTTTTTTTTCTCCATTTTTACCAACTTTTTTTGGAACTAACACAAGTGGTGACGAAAATTCATTTTTAGATTCTTCTATTATATCATCTTTTAACATTTCACATATTTGTTTTCGATTTTTTTGTTTGTAGAATTTTGTATGGTTTCATGTAAACAGAACTTGCATTATCCTTCAGTCTAATGAATTGTTTATATAAATTAGTTGCCGATGATTTATCACCGTATTTAGGACAAATATTTTCGATTGTTTCTCGTTCTTTTAGATTTAACGAAGTTAATTTTAATAAATTTAACAAATTTTCAACTCTATCAGCCAGAACTGTAGAGTTCCCAAAATTACACATGTTATGTTCACTTCATCTTTGCAACTAAGGCACACAATTTTTCAAACATACTTCACTTTCTCGTGTATTCAGTATTTTGACTGGAATTTTACCATTTTTTGGTCTGAAAATACAGTTAGCAATAACTTTTGATAAACGAAAAACAACTCACATTGTGGCGGAATTACAATGGTATCATCATTATGAGAGAGTAGGGGTAGTACACTCTCTTTATTAAAATGTAACAAAATTAAAGCATCCTTTGCAAAGTCAATAACTCCTTTAAATTTTTTAGAATTTTTTTCCCTATTATACCATTCGATGAACATGATAAATCTTTAAAAACGTAAAATTTTTGAACAAAATATTTCCCACTGCTTTTAGTTTCAAATAAACATATCCTTCCGCAAAAATAACCTGTAATTCCCTTAATTTTTAAAACATTCATACTCAATAAAAAAGCCCCAGTATTAACTAGAAAACACATCTAAATATTTATAAATTTAATTAACACTTTCCCCACGACGTCAATTCCTATCAAACTCTGCACTTCCAACCCCAAGCTTCCCTCTTTCTTGCGAAGCAAAAAATAAGCAATGCCTAATTACTAAACTCGGCTGTAATAAAATGCGCTTAATTAGTGTTAAAACACGACAATTAACGACACTTCCCTCCATAAAATATAGGATCGTTTCGTTAAACGTCTACTTTGCAGCTGATTTATTTTTGAGGCGTATCGCCCGGAAAATGCAAATACTACACAAGTTATTCCGGTTTACAAAAATCATAACTGTTAAAGCGAACATCGGAGAAATAAAAGCCCGCTAATTCGATTCCACATGCAAATGTGTTTTGAATTCGAATGCAAGTTGAATAAATGATTCTACACATAAAACCGGCGCTGTTTGTGTTTTCCAAAATTAGCGGAATGATAAAAAACTTTGCGTTCGTGAACAATTTTTAAATATATTAAAATATGCAATTAAAACTCCGGTTTAATGTTTCATCCGTGCGTTTAACTTCTGGTTTGAAGCCAAATCGACACCTACGCCGCCTCTAAGTAATTGTTTATTGTTATCTCTCCATCGCCGGTCCGCACACAATAATCATATTCGTTTAAGCCATGTTCCGCTATTTCCCCTCTAAACATTTAACTTTATTAATATCTCCAACAAAGAGATGCCTTACAGCTACCTTAAAGGTCTCCATCGCACTTTGCATCTCAATAGAGTTTCAAAATAATTCGCTTATGCTAATTCCAAACACTCGAAAATGGCTTCATTGTGAAAATCGCCGTCGTCAGAAAAATGGACACACCTCAAGCCCCCACACTCGCTCCCGCAATATTCACACAATTCATCAGCGTTTAAACACGAAGTTAACGTAACAAACTGACAACACAGTCGTATTTAAATTGAAATTGCATTCGAGTGCAGGCGAAACAAGTTTACGCTTCTTTGTCAAATTTTCGAACTGGGACGAACTCACAATGGATGCTTTATGGAAAAACGACATCTACATACATCCTGGTCGGTGTTTGCGTGAGATTTAGAGATAAAGTTTGGTTCGAAAAGGCTTGCTTTAATGCACTCACTCATCAGTTGTAGCCGAAAGTGTCTCCGTTTCAGCATTTTCATAATTTAGCAGCCCGATATGTAAAGCGGTCTCCGAAGCGTAAAAATTATTCAGTAATTATGTAAAAGATTCGGGAGCTGTGTCTCATAACTAGCTTTACAATGCAAATATTGTAATTTGGTTAAACTATTCTAATTATGTTAATTTACGCAGAAATAATAGACCGGCGAATTTTGTCGTCAGTGTTATAATAACAACAAATGGCGGATGCGCTGAATATGTTAATACCTCACGCGAATTTTTAATCACTTTAATTAAATTAAAAATTGCGCGTTCTTATCAGTCCAGCACAAATCCGGCAAAAACAAAGCCAGCGACCCTTTGTGAAGTAAAAATTCGAGCGATGTTTATTGAAGCGAGAAATTTAAATGAATCGTTTTCGTAGTAACTTTATCAGTAGAACGACCCCAATTAGGGAGTTGACTGTTTACGAAAATTCATATTGAAAGAAGTGACAAATTCCCTCCGACTGATCGTTATCTATTTTTAATTATTAATTGAAAGATAAAAGCAATTAGGATCTACACTAAACGTCTTGTTTCGGCATGACTTGAAGCTAATTTAATTACGATGTGACCTCGTTGCATTTTACATGAACTCGGGGCCGCTATTAATAGACAAATCTAAACAATCGAGAGAAAATTAAATAAATTCGTCAAGGTGAGGCACGTGCTTCTGACAATTTCGAAAATATAAAATATCCGTGTTTTTTTTGAATCCACAAAAGATATATCGTTGTGCATCATTACATAGCAAGTATTCTTAGATGCATGTGTTTTTCTAGGTGGTTGCGCAACTTTCGGCCACTCCTGCTACGGAGGAATGGGCAAACGTGCGTCGGATTTGCTCGACAACAATGAAGAAATCTTACAAGACGTACAGAACGACGAAAATCCAGCTTTCGTCTTCACTGGGCCACGGAGCGAATACAAACCGGAACGACCTCCTAAACTAACACCCCAGCAATACGACAACATATCACGCGTCATTAGGCAATGGGTACTTATTTTGACTTTCGTTGTTCTGTCTATTATTATCATTATTATTACGTAAGACAAAGAAATTGCGACTTCATTTATTTTTTTAGTAATTTTTTGCATCCACTCAGATATTTTTAAGAACGTCGTTAATATAAATAACAAAAAATAAAGGACTTAAAACGTCTCCGTAATTAGTTTTGGCAAATCCGACCAACTCTAATTGAAACTATACAAAGTCGTTAGAATGTATGAAAACGGTTAATTATCTTCAGACAACATATAGTTTTCTTTGAACCACACGAAAGTTAAATAGGTTTTTAGTTTCTTGTTGGGAAAGAAGATTTCGTATATTATTAAAAAAATTTACGAAATATAAGCCCCGCCCACCCACCCCTTCTCAATTGTGATGATTTTTTAATTCATTGTGTGTCAAGGGCGGAGATTAATTGCAAAAGAGTAAAATTTTGTAAAAATATGGATTTTGCAATTAAACTTCGCCGCTCGGTATGACATGGAATAAAAGTAATCATTACAATTGAGACAGGGTGGGCGGGCGGGGCTTATATTTTGTCCTTTCTTCTTAATATACGTAATCTTCTTTTCACAACAAGAAACTTAAAACATGTTCAAAATTCTTGGCAAGAAATATATATTTTGCAATTATGCTCCGCCCATCGGTTTGACAACGAATAAAAAATTCATCAGAACACGATAGTTAAAGGTGTTTTCAGTTTCCTGTTGGGAAAAGAAAATTTCGTGTATTAAAAAAATATATACGAAATATACGCCCCGCCCACCCCCCCGTTCTCAATTGTGATGATTTTTTTATGCATCGTGAGCCGAAAGTGGAACTTAGTTTTAAAATTTTGTAAAAAAATATGGATTTTGCAATTAAATTCCACTGCTCGGTCTGACAATGAATAAAAGAAATCATTACAATCGAGATAGGGTGGGTGGGTGGGGCTTATATTTTGCCCTTTCTTCGTAATATACGTAGTCTTTTTTTCACAACAAGAATCTTTCTAGGGAAATATGTATTTTGCAATTACGCTCCGCCTCTCGGTCTGACAACGAATAAGAAATTCATCACAATTGAGATCGGGAGTTTTTTTCAGTTACATATAGTTTTCTTTGGACAACACGAAAGTTAAGTATGTTTTTAGTTTCTTGTTGCGAAAAGAAGACTTCGTAAATTAAGAAAAAATGGACAAAATATAAGCCCCGCCCACCCACCCCCTCGCAATTGTGATGATTTTTTTATGCATCGTGAGTCGAGGGCGGAGCTTAGTTGCAAAGTCCTCATTTCTCTATAAGAAATTACCGTGTGAAATATGTTCTTTAAAGAGTAAATTTTTTTTAGAAAAATATGGACTTTGCAATTAAACTTCACCTCTCGGTCTGACGACGAATAAAAAAATTCATTACAATTGAGATAGGGTGGGTGGGTGGGTGGGGCTTATATTTTGCCCTTTCTTCTTAATATATGTAGTCTTAATTTCACAACAAGAAACGTAAAACATATTAAACATTTGTGTAGGGAAATATATATTCTGCAATTACGCTCCGCCCATCGATTTGATAAAGAATAACAAATTCATCAGGACATGATAGTTAAATATGATTTTAGTTTCCTATTGGGAAAAGAAGGTTTCAAATATAAAAAAAAATGTACGAAATATAAGCCCCGCCCACCCACCCCCTCTCTGTTATGATGATTTTTTATTCATCGTGAGCCGAAGGCGGAACTTAGTTGCAAAAGAGTAAAATTTTGTAAAAAAATATGGATTTTGCAAATAAATTCCACTGCTCGGTCTGACAATAAATAAAAAAAATGATTACAATTGAGGTAGGGTGGGTGTGTGGGGCGTATATTTTGCCCTTTCTTCTTAATATACGTAGTCTTCTTTTCACAACAAGAATTTTTGTAGGGAAATATGTATTTTGCAATTACGCTCCGCCTCTCGATTGAGATCGGGACTTTTTTTAATTACGTATAGTTTTCTTAGAACAACACGATAATTAAAATATGTTTTCAGTTTCTTCTTCGGAAAAGAAAATTTTCTATATTAAAAAAAATGTAGGATATATAAGCCCCGCCCACCCACCCCCTCTTGATTGTGATGATTTTTTTATTTATCGTGAGTCGAGGGTGGGGCTTAGTTGTACAAGAGTAAAATTTTGTAAAGCAATATGGAATTTGCAATTAAATTCCGCCGGTCGGTCTAACAACGAATAAAAAAATCCTTACAAACGAGGTAGGGTGGGTGGGCGGGACTTATATTTTGCCATTTCTTCGTAATATACTTAGTCTTTTTTTCACAACAAGAATCTTCCTAGGGAAATATGTATTTTGCAATTACGCTCCGCCTCTCGGCCTTACAACGAATAAAAAATTCATCACGATTGAGATCGGGACTATTTTTTAACTTCATATAGTTTTCTTTGAAGAACATGATAGTTAAATATGTTTTCAGTTTCTTGTTGCAAAAAGAAGATTTCGTATATCAATAGAAGTGTACGAAATATAAGCCCCGCCCACCCACCCCCTCTCAATTCTGATGATTTTTTTATTCATCGTGAGCCGAAGGCGGAACTTAGTTGCAGAAGAGTAAAATTTTTTAAAGAAATATGGATTTTGCAATTAAACTTCGTTACTCAGTCTGACAAGGAATAAAAAAATCATTACAACCGCGATAGGGTGGGTGGATGGGGCTTTTGTCTTTCCTTCTTAATATACGTAGTCTTCTTTTCACAACAAGAAACTTAAAAAATATATTTAAAATTTTTGTACGGAAATATGTGTTTTGCAATTACGCTCCGCCCATCGGTTTGACAACGAATAAAAAATTCATCACAACAAGATAGTTAAAGGTGTTTTAAGTTTCCTGTTGGGAAAAGAAGATTTCGTGTATTAAAAAAATATATACGAAATATACGCCCCGCCCACCCACCCGTTCTCAATTGTGATGATTTTTTTATTAATCGTGAGCCGAGGACGGAGCTTAGTTGCAAAAGAGTAAAATTTTCTAAAGAAATATGGATTTTGCAATTAGACTTCGCCACTCAGTCTGACAAGGAATAAAAAAAAATCATTACAACTGCGATAGGGTGGGTGGGTGGGGCTAATATTTTCCCTTCCGTCTTAATATAAGTACGTAGTCTTTTTTTCACAACAGGAAACATATTAATCGTATATTAAAAACAAGTACGAAATATAAGCCCCGCCCACCCAGCCCCTCTCAATTGTGATGATTTTTTTATTAAACTTGAACCGAGGGCGGAGCTTAGTTGCAAGAGAGTAAAATTTTGTAAAGAAATGTGGATTTTGCAATTAAATTCCGCCACTTACTCTGACAACGAATAAAAAAAATCTTTACAATTGAGATTGGGTGGGTGGGTGGGGCTTATATTTTGCCCTTTTTTTTAATATGTATCGTCTACTTTTCCCAACAAGAATTTTTTGGTAGGGAAATATGTATTTTGCAATTACGCTCCGCCTATTGGTCTGACAACGAATAAAAAATTCATCACGATTGAGATTGGGAGTTTCTTTTAGTTGATATAGTTTTCTTTGAACAACACGGAAGTTAAATATGATTTTAGTTTCTTGTTGACAAAAGAAGATGCCGTATATTAAAAACAAAGTACGAAATATAAGCCCCGCCCACCCACCCCGTCTCAATTGTGATGATTTTTTCATTAATCGTGAGCCAAGGGCAAAATCCTCATTTCTCTATAAGAAATTACCGTGTGAAATATGATCTTAAAAGAGTAAATTTTTATAGAAAAATATGGATTTTGCAATTAAACTTCATTGCTCGGTCTGGCAGCGAATAACAAAAAAAACATTACAATTGAGATAGGGTGGGTGGGTGGGGCTTATATTTCACCCTGTCGTCTTAATATAAGTAGTCTTCTTTTCACAACAAGAAACTTAAAACATGTTCAAAATTTTGTAGGGAAATATATATTTTGCAGTTATGCTTCGCCCATCGGTCTGACAACGAATAAAAAAGATGATTACAACTGAGATAGGGTGGGTGGGCGGAGCTTATATTTTGCCCTTCCTTCTTACACTATAGTTAAATATGTTTTCAGTTTCTTGTTGGGACAAAAAGATGCCGTAGATTAAAAAAAAGTACGAAATATAAGCCCCGCCCACCCACCTCGTCTCAAATGTGATCGTTTTTTTATGCATTGTGAGCCAAGGGCGGGGCTTATGTGCAAAATCCTCATTTCTCTATAAGAAATTACCGTGTGAAATATGTTCTTAAAGGAGTAAATTTTTATAGAAAAATACGGAATTTGCAATTAAACTTCGCCGCTTGGTCTGACAACAAATAAAAAAATTCATTACAATTGCGGCAGACTGGGTGGGCGGGGCTTATATTTTGCCCTTCCTTCTTACACTATGGTTAAATATGTTTTCAATTTCTTGTTGGGAAAAGAAGATGCCGTATATTAAAAAAAAGTACGAAATATAAGCTCCGTCCACCCACTCCGTCTCAATTGTGATGGTTTTTTTATTCATCGTGAGCCGAAAGCGGAACTTAGTTGCAAAAAAATAAACTTTTGTAAAGAAATATGGATTTTGCAGTTAAATTCCCCCGCTCTGTCTGACAACGAATATATTATACATTTTGTACATTTTTTCTTAATATACGAAGTCTTCTTTTCCCAACAAGAAACTAAAAATAGCTATTGTGTGGTTCAAAGAAAACCATATGTAATTAAAAAAATTCCGATTTCAATTATGATGAATTTTTTACTCGTGGTCAGACCGAGGGGCGGAGCTTAATTGCAAAATACATATTTCCTTACAAAAATTTTGAACATATTTTAAGTTTTTTGTTGTGAAAAGAAAACTACGTATATTAAGAAGACAGATTAAAATATAAGCCCCACCCACCCACCCTATCTTAATTGTAATGATTTTTTTTATTCATTGTCAGACCGAGCGGCGGAGTTTGACTGCAAAATTCATATTTTTTTATAAAATTTTAGTCTTTTAAGAACTTTATTTACATGATAATTTATTGTAGAGAAATGAGGATTTTGCACCTAAGCTCCGCCCTCTGCTCACGATGCATAAAAAAATCATCACAATTGAGAAGGGGTGGGTGGGTGGGGCTTATATTTTGTACATTTTTTCTTATTACAGGAAGTCTTGTTTTCCCAACAAAAAATTAAAAATGAATAAAAAATCGTCACAATCGAGAGGGGGTAGGTGGGCGGGGCCAATATTTCCTACATTTATTTTTCTAATATACGAAATCTTTTCCCAACAAGAAACTAAATAGCTATCGTGTTGTTGAAAAAAACTATATGTAATTAAAAAAAATCGCAATCTCAATTATGACGAATTTTTTATTCGTTGTCAGAACTAGGGGCGGTCAATCACTGCAAAATACATATTTTCCTGTAAAAATTTTGAACATATTTTAAGTTTTTTGTTTTGAAAAGTAAACTACGTATATCAAGACGACAGGGTTAAATATAGGCCCCACCCACCCACCCTATCTCAATTGTAATGATTTTTTTATTCATTGTCAGACCGAGCGGCGGATTTTTACTGCAAAATTCACACGTTTTCACAAAATTTTAATTTACTTATTTCACATGATAATTTCTAGCAGAGAAATGAGGATTTTGCACCTAAGCTCCGCCCTCGGCTCACGATGCATAAAAAATCATTACAATTGAGACGGGGTGGGTGGGCGGGGCATATATTTTGTACATATTTTCTTAATATACGAAATCTTCTTTTACCAACAAGAAACTCAAAACATATTCAACTATCGTATTGTTCAAAGAAAATGATATGTAATAAAAGAAGTCCCGATCTGAATTATGATGAATTTTTTATTCGTTGCCAGACCGACGAGCGGAGCATATTTGCGAAAACTGCTACAAATAATGAAAATGGCCTTAATGTCCTCTTAAACACAACAGAAAATCCCAAACATCAGTGCAACAATTAGAGCTGAATCACAAAGTTGGTAGAAAATCAATTCAAACAATAATGAGAAAAGAAAAGTTTCACCCATACAAAATCCATTTGAACACAAATTCTCATTAACTCACTACAAAATTTCATTCAGGGTATTTTTTACTGCCAGGAAGTAAATGGAGAGGATTTTGAGCATCTTTTGTAGAAAACGGAAGTTTAATTTTTGTTTCGGTTATTCTTTAATTATTATACCTAATTTCAGTTGATTTGTACAACTGGTTCTCAAGATATTCAACCGTTTCCATACATTCTAGCGTTGTGCCATTTCTAATATTCTTGTTGGTTTCAGATTCAGTATTACAGGAGAGCTCAAGAATTGCATGCCGACAACAACATATAAAGAAAAATACCTATTAAGTTCAGAACTGAAGTTTTTGTCCTCTAACATAATGGTTGTAGAGTATATTAACTAATATACTGTTAAGTAAATGTTAATGAGTAAAGTGTAAAGGCTTATCTTCTTGTAGGTTTATAACGTTATGTTGAAATGTAAGACGTACTTTTTGTTGTGATTTTATTGTATATTTAAAATTTAAAAAATAAAGTGTCATTGGCTGGAGACAAGTGTTTGATTATGATTATTGATTAGTTAATTAATTAACGGTGTTTATAATGTATGCAACCAACAATACACATAGTTCATTTTTAATGAGTAAAATTTCCTGAAAGCTGTTTATGAAACGTAAAATGGGTTGCCTATGCAGAAATGTTCAGGAGTGAAGAGATAAAATGAACACCTATTTGTTTAATAAAAATTCGGACTGACGGTAGACAGACAGACAGACAAAAACGGGCGACCTTGTTTCGCACTGAGTTTACGCTCTGAAAATAAAAAGATGCTCCTATTTAGTATTGACATATATCGTTTTTTATGTGTCTGTTATATTTTTAGGAATATTTATTGCATTTGTAATAAATTGTATAAAAAAAGTAGACTGTTTCGGGGCCCACCGGGAAATTTCCCGGTGTCCCGACGGTACAATCCGACACTACACAAATAAATTGTAAATGCAATGTTTGATTAAAATGAAACAAATTCAGAATAGAAAAATGTAGACAAAAGGTGTGTCTTGTGCTGGAAATTTTGTTTTTTATTTGTTTGAATAATAATAAAATTAACTAGAATTTAAAAAAATACTGCTACCCTCCGCCACTGGCTAGCAGTGACAGCACGGTGACAGCCATTAATTTCAGCTTTCAGCTGTCACTGCCACAAAACAAAGGTTAGAATACATTCTTATGTTGTTATCAAAAAAACTAATAATAGATAAATATTCATTCCTCGAAACGTTTTAGTAGCATAACATGGCACCGTAATTACTCAGATTCAGCAAAAACGCCATCAAACTTATTTTAATCGCAGTTCCAAAAACCCAAAAATCACGTTAAAGCCGAAAACCAACCGGTGATCACCTCACCTCTTTGTAAGTATTCATATTATCATCTTAAAATGATTCTCGAGTGATAAGAAAATTACATAACCTCACTTTCGCAGTCCTTTATTTCGCGTTTTTGCCACTATCGCTCGTGCGAGACAAAAACCAAAGTTAAGTTTATCTCAAAATTCTTATCACACACTGACAAACACATCGCTGTTTGTTGTTTATAACTTAGTATCGAGATGGACGTTCTTGAGACGTGAGTATCTGTAACCATGTAGAAAAAAGTAACCCCGCTTGCTACAGCCTGTTTTATTTATAGACGTGATGACGACGTCCTCAGCGTAGTCGACATCCACGACATAGGCTCCTACCTGGCTTTTAGTGATGTAGTGGATGAAGAAATCGATGTTTTTGATATGGCGTCATTAAGTAACTTCCTGCTTTTGGGTAAGTAGGAATACCAAACTTGAAAAAATAATCATTCTGAATAGGACACACCTTGAATCGCAACGACGACTTTCACAATTCCTGCAATTTGGAGGATGACAATTTACACCGATTGTCGCTGGCGTATGAAAAACTACACACAATACCGAAAATCCTCCTGCAGGAGTTGGCACCAGTTGTGAGAATTTTAGACTTAAGCAACAACGAATTTGAGTGAGTGTTTTGAAATCATTGACACTAAAAATTAAAAATATATAAACGCATTTTTAGGAATCTAGACTTTCTGAGCGAATTTAAATCACTAAGTACTCTTATCTGTGATCATAATAGAATAACGTCAGACACACCCATCCCCTATATGCCAAAACTGGAACTATTTTGGCTCAACCACTGTAAAGTTGCTTCTTTATACCCTTGGGCTAGAAAACTGCAATTATCGTGCCCCAATTTACAGTATTTGTCGCTCATGGGTAACCCCGTGGCCCCTTCGTGCCTCAACGGCGGCAATTTTTACGAATATTGGCAATACAGGTGAGTGCGCCTGAGTGGTTATGCAGCCAACTATACACCAATTTGTAGGTTATTTATTGTGTCACTTTTCCCGAAGTTGGTGCACCTGGACGACCGACCGGTCACCCCCGACCAACGAAAAGAAGCAGAAAGGTTGTACCGGAAGCCTCTAGTGGAGCGCCTAGTCATGAAAACACACGCGAATTTACCTGAATATCTGCGCCATATTTCTGACGTAGTATCCGACATACTTACCCCCACTCCATCTTTTGTACCCCCACCCGAAAAAAACGTCATCGTCTAAAACAATTTATTGTATACTATTTTTTTAAATATATTGGATTTTGTGAAAATTTGACATGAGTGGCTGGGGTGAAGTGCTCAAAGATGATTATTTCGTTTGTTCCCGGTTTCAAAAGGGGAGCCGGAAGGTAGAGGGTTTGTTGGGGTCCCAGGTGCATGTAGCGACCCAGAACAAACCCATTGATGGTAACGATTCCCGTGTTCCACTGGGACATGTCGAGGTAAGTATCCATGGGTTGGTCCACTTCCAAATTGGCTTTGTTTAGAGTGAGGTTGGTGGTACTGAAGTCGTACCATCCGTGCAAAGATTTAGTCCACTTTGTTTTAAATTCGAGTGGTCGTATTTCCCAGTTTTTGAGTACGTGGGTGTTCAAAAAGACGTCCGAGGTTAGTCCTTTGAACTGTTTGAAGTCTTCGAGTTTCCCGAAATTGTTGCGCCCCCAGTTTTCCACAATTAAGTCAATAGTGGAATTTTTTCCCTCTGGTAGGGTTAAAGTACCATCTTTTAGCCTCCAATACCCGAATTTATTGATGTCGTCGCTGTTTCGTAACGCGCGTGAGACTAATTTTCCATCCACTAGTACCAACACACTGTCGTGAACGTACCCTTTCATTTTTAGAACGCTGTTCGGAGGGATGTCCGCTGTGGTTCGATAAATCGTGTAACCATAACTCTGCCCAGAATCGTTATTAATCGGGAGCAATTCCATTGGTACTACGTCAGTACTTTGGAAAACTTGTGGCAGCTGTTCCACGATAGTACTGAATTGTAGTTGCTGCTTAATTTCGATGTCGGGGTACCTAATTCTTGGAGTTTCCTTCGGCGGTGGTGGTACTTTAGTTATAACTTTGTTGTACTTCGCGATTAAATTCTTGACGATGTGGTACTTCTCGGTGTAGTCGCCATTTTCCGTCAACGGTGCGTCGTAGTCGTAGCTTGTGGTATCCGGCTGGTACTTCCCGTTTTGCAAGTTCGCCCCGTTCAAAAACCCCCAGTTGGTACCACCGTGGAACATGTACATGTTAAACGAAGCGGGATACCTGAGGATGTCATTCAACACTTGTCGAAACTCTACATTATCCCTCTTGGAGTGATTTTCCGACCAGTGGTCAAACCACCCCGTCCAGTACTCCATAGCCATTGTGGGTTTGTTCGCTTGCAACTTCTTCAAACTATCAAATTCTTTCTTAGGGTTTCGCGCAAAATTCGCCGTTTGGAAAATATCGTGCAAAGTACCAACGTCTCCGTGCTGACTCGGATTATCCGAAGTGAACAACAACTCCTTGATACCATTCCGTACCATCAGGGTACGCAATTGTTCTAAATAAACCTTGTCCGGCACGAACGACTCGTTGTCTTTCTTCCACTCGGTACTACCATATTCGTTTTCCACCTGGAACCCCACGATCGCACCTCCGTTAGTAAATTGTAGAGCGGCCAAAATCGGTAACAGTACTCCAAAGTACCTCGACACGTGCTTCATGAAGTTGTCGTCCGACGTTCTGACTTTGATGTCTTTTTCTCGTAACAACCAACTCGGCAGCCCGCCGAATTCCCACTCCGCGCAAATATAAGGCCCCGGTCGTACTATAACCAAAAGATCCTCTTCCTGCGCCATCTTCACGAACTCTTCCACGTGCAGAAAATCCTCCATGTCGGAACCACCGTTCCCGAAATCGAAAGTACCGATTTCCGGTTCGTGCAGATTCCACGGTACGTACGTTTCGACGGTGTTGAGACCCGCGGCTTTCAGTTTTCGCAGACGGTCTCTCCAGTACTGCCGCGGGACCCGGAAGTAGTGCAAGGCGCCGCTGTACAGGGTGACGTTTTTGTCGTTGAGGGTGAAGTACGGCTGGTTGGTGGACAGTCCGGAGGTTATTCCCCCGGACGTGTAGTACTCGTAGAGTGTGGGCGCGCTTAACGCCATGACACTTGTTCTGACCTTGTGACAACTGAACGGGATCGTCGATTGTTCGGCTATTAATTGGCAGTGGAAATCGGTCGATGACTCAACGGGAGAGGGAAAGGTGAACGAAGTCAAGGGGTGGAGCTTGCGTGCGATAACGTGCTGTATGGTAAATTAAAATATGGATTTGGTTTAATGAAACCACAAGCACGTTTTAGGAAGGTGGTACCTGATAAGGCCACTTGAATTAAAACAATTTTTTCGTGGTAGATATCATTTATTTGTTTGTTAAGGTACTTAGTTCGATCCACGGTACTTCGTTCTATATTTAGGGCCTTCGGAGAATTTCACTTCGGCTCGTGTCACGAAATGATCGAATACCAAGATAGTGTTGTTCCCTTTCTTCAGAAACACCCCCGGCAAATACAGGGTTTGTTGAGGTCCTATTCTGGCGTACCGCCCTAGAACGAACCCATTAACAACCACAATTCCCTTGACCCACTTTTCCATGTCGACGAAAGTGTCTTCCGTTACGTCCACATCTAACACGGCCTTGTATAAAGCCGGTCCTGGCGCCCATCTTCTCACGGGCGGGCGCCACCCCTTTAGCGACTGGGTCCAAGACTTCTTAAATTCCAAGGGAAAAATGTGCCAATTTTGCAACTCCACGTCGTTCAAAAACACTCCTCCTTGCCATAGTCCTTTGAACTGGTTGAATTGCTCTAGATAGCCGAAGTTGTTTCGGCCCCAGTTCTCCACCATCAGGTCTAGAGTGGCCCCGGTTAAATTCTGGGAGTTTATGGTTATAGTGGAGTCTTTGAGGCGCCAGTACCCAAAACCGTCGAGGTCGCTAGATCTGGTTAAAGGCTTATTCAGGAGGAAACCGTCGACTAGTACGACCACGCTGTCGCAAACATGGCCGCTGATTTTCAAGATGGAGTTCGCTGGGATGTCTAAGTTGGTCATACGATAGACTATATAGCCGTAGCTTTGCCCAGAAAGATTGTTCATTGGTAGAGTTTCCATAGACAGGACACTGGGGCTTTGGAAAGTCACTGGTACCGTGCGGAGTAAGTCGTTCAAAAGTAGCTGCCCTTGTACCACTACTGCCGGGTACTTGCGCCTCGGAGTTATACTAGGAGTTTGTGGTATTCGAGTCCGCACTTTATTATATTTCGTTATCAGTTCTTTCACCATCAAGTACTTCATAGTGTAGTCACCATTTTCCGTCAACGGTGCGTCGTAGTCGTAGCTCGTGGTATCCGGTTGGTACCCCGAATTGTCGGTTTCTTCGTTATTCAAGTTCGCACCGTTCAGAAACCCCCAGTTCGTACCACCCACGAACATGTACATGTTCACAGACCCCGGGTACTTCAAAATCCTGTTTAAAACGTCGTAGAAGTCGTCGTCGTTCCGCGTGTGGTGCTCTTCCGACCAGTGGTCAAACCACCCGGTCCAAAACTCCATCGCCATCGTGGGTTTGTTAGTTTGAAGCTCCTTCAACTTGTTGAATTCGTCTTCGGGCTCTGACGCGAAATTCGCAGTTTGGAGGAAGTACTCAGGTAAAGTACCTGCAGTTCCGTGCATCGTAGGACTGTCAGAAGTGACCAGGAGTTCCACTATGCCGTTATTAAGCATCAATTGACGCAGCTGCTTCAAATAAACTTTGTCTGGCACGAACCCCGGTTTCTCGGTACTACCGTACTCGTTTTCAACCTGGAACGCTATGATCGGGCCACCTCGCGTAAACTGGAATATCGCTAGCAAAGACAACAACAGGTTGAAGTACCTCGTTACGAATTTCATATACACGGGGTCAGAAGTACGCACTTTGATGTCTTTTTGTCGCAGTAGCCAGCTCGGAAACCCCCCGAATTCCCACTCGGAGCAGATATAAGGCCCGGGCCGCATAATCACGAACAAGTCTTCCTCCTGCGCCGTTTTTAGAAACTTTCGCACGTCCAGGAACTCCTGCATGTCCGTCCCGGCGCTCCCGAAGTCGAAGTACCCGTTAGCGGGTTCGTGGAGGTTCCAGGGTACGTACGTCTCGACGGTGTTGAGACCAGCGGCCCTCATTTTTCGCAATCGGTCTCTCCAGTAGGGCGGCGGGACGCGGAAGTAGTGCATGGCGCCGCTATACAGAGTGATGTTTTGGTTGTTGAGGGTGAAGTACGACTGGTTCGCTGATAGTCCAGAGGTGATGCCACCCCCGGTGTAGTACTCGTACGAAGTTGGCAAAGACGCGTTTGTTACCGCCATTACGCTATTAAACACTTGACGCAATTGTGCACTCTTTGTGATCTAATCACATAATGTGGAACGTGACACAATTCCGAAGAAATGTTTGTGGTCGTTATCGGGTTTGGTCGGACTGGAAATGATGGGAGGTCAAGGTCGGGAGGTGATGTTTGTTTGTGGATGACAGAGCATGACGTAGGAGTGTGGATTTTTGGTTTTGGTTTTGATAAGTTGGTACTTCCGATAATTTACGACTATTCAAGTTTATATTTAGTAAATACATGTTTTTAAGCTAGTGTCTCAAAAATATGTTCCTTGCTGAATTGAATAACCATGGTTGGTACGAAGTGCTCAAACACCAGAATACTGTTCAAACCCTTCTTCAAAAACGGCCCGGGCAAAAACGCCGTTTGTTGAGGTCCTAATTTCATGTACCTTGCCAAGACGAAACCATTGACGACGACAAAACCTTTGGTCCACTTCGTCATGTCGACGAAAGTGTCAACCGGATCGTCGATTTCGAAAGTCGCTTTGTACAACGCGGGTCCAATGTTTTCAGACGCAGGTCTCCAGTTCTGGAGAGACTCGGTCCACTTTTTTTTAAATTCGAGAGGAATTACCTTCCAGGTGTCCAGAACCTGGTCGTTGATCAAAACATTGCCTTGCCACAGACCCTTGTACTGGTTAAACTGGTCCAATTTACCGTAGTTGTTCCTACCGGAGTTTTCAACCACAAGATCCAACGTGGCGCTTTTGTATTCCTGTGTTCCTAGTTGGAGACTCGAATCTTTGACCTTCCAGTACCCAAAATCGTCGAGATCGGCTTGAGTTTTCAAAATTTTTGACTTGAGTTCTCCGTTCACTAAAACGGTGACTGTGTCACATACATAGCCTTCGATTTTCAGTACCGAGTTCGCGGGGATGTTGGTGTTTTCGTGTCGGTAGACCACGTAGCCGTAACTTTGACCCGAAGCGTTGTTAATATCGAGGAATTCCATGGACACGAGTTTGGAATCGATTTGTATGGTACTCTGTCGGATTAAGTCGTCAAGGGTCAACATTTCCGTCACTTGTACATCCGGATAGGCCGTTTTGTCACTCAGTTGTGGCAACTCTGGTAATCTTGTCACGACTTTGTTATGTTTGAGTACTAATTCCTTGACTTTGTGGTACTTGTCGGTGTAGTCACCCGCTTCTGACAACGGCGCGTCGTAGTCGTAGCTCGTGGTGTCCGGTCGGTACTTACTATAATCACCACTTGCGTACTCAACGTTGGCACCATTGGGAAACCCCCAGTTCGTACCACCATGGAACATATAGAAGTTAACAGAAGCCCCAAACTCCAAAATTTCGTCTAGTACTTGCCCGAAAGCGTCGGCGCTTCTGGTGTGGTGTTTGTCCGTCCAGTGGTCAAACCACCCCGTCCAGTACTCCATAACCATCAAGGGCTTGTCGGGTTGAAACTCCTTCAACAACCCCAACTCATGTTTAGCTTTTTCTTGAAAATTAGCAGTGGCCAAAACCCCGGGTAACGTACCAGACCACCCATTCGATGGTGTATCCGACGTAAACAAAACCTCCACAATGCCACTCCTCTCCAGAATCTCCTTCAAACCCTCCAAGTACCCCGTATCCACTGACTTCGTATTCCCGTACTCGTTCTCAATCTGGACTGCAATCACAGACCCACCTTTCGTGAACTGCAACGGTACCAATATCTGCAACAACGCTCCAAAGTACTTGGTTACAGCTTCCATAAACAGCGAATCGGAAGTTCTAATTTTGACATTCGAGCGTAGGAGCCAACTCGGCAGACCTCCGAAGTCCCACTCGGCGCAAATATAAGGACCTGGTCGTACTATCGCGAACAAGTCCTCCTCCTGTGCGATTCTGAGGAATTTTTCGATGTCCAGGAACTGGCTGAAGTCGCTCGACCCTTTCCCAAAATCGAAGGTACCGATTTCGGGTTCGTGCAAGTTCCACGGGACGTAGGTTTCCACGGCATTCAGGCCGGCGGCTCGCAGTTTGCGCAGACGGTCGCGCCAGTACTGCGGTGGTACCCGGAAGTAGTGGACGGCGCCGCTGTACAGGGTGATGTTTTTGCGGTTGAGGGTGAAGTGGGGTTGGTTGGTGGATAGACCCTCGGAAATCCCCCCATCTGTGTAGTACTGGTACAGAGTCATGGTTGCACAACCTAGGTACTGTCACTTTTTGGTGACAAAGCGTGGAAGTAAAGACGGTTTCAAATCTGGTGGTCGCGTTTGGGTGTGTTTATAAGTTGAGTTATGGTGTTTATTTCGTCTTATTTTTTTGGTTTTGGGTTTATTAAATACTGCGGTTGTTTTTATAGAGTGAAAAGAAAATTTATTTGGATGTAATAAGCTTGAAGGTTAAGGTAACGATTTGGAACGGGTTTTACGTCTGGTGGATGTCTGATTGTTTGCGCATTTTCCAGGCGCATGTCAGTGGTGTACGTAGGGGGGATTTTTAGTCAAGACACAAATATTATAGTTTTTCTGTCTACTTTAATTAGATGCCGTTTCTGGAATAAGATTTTAACAAAGAGAGTGAGATAAGCAAAACTGGCTAAAAAATACATTGTAACACGTGTTGCATGCGAAATATAAATGCAGTGGTCAAAGACATGTAAAGCATAGATTAATATAGATGCGACATACAGGCTGATTTTGCAAAACCACCCTTATTCTTTATTTCTGTTTTATACTAGCAAAACGTCTTAAACTAAGAATATTGTTGAAATCGTAATAACAACACTGTTCTATTTTGTATGAATTTTTAAATGTTTTTAGTGACAATTTTTGTGGTTGTTTTCGATACACTGTATGATGTTAACAGTGAGAAAAAAAAATGAAAAATTAAAATAATCGAAAATTCGAGAAATCTAATAATCGAAAAATCGAAAACTTAAAAAATCGTAAAACTGAAACATTGAAAAATCGAAATATCGAAGAACTGAAAATCGAAAAATGAAACATCCGAAAATCGAAAAAATGTAAAATTCAAAAATCTAAAATTTAAAAACCGAATAACGAAAAATTGAGAAATCGAAACTCCCAAATTTAAAAAATCGGATAAGTGAAAAATCGAAACATCGAAAAACTGGAAATCGTGGAGTCGAAAATTCGAACAATTGAGAAACCGAAATAAGCCAAAATCGAAAAATTGAAAAGTTAAAAATTGAACAAGAAATTGACCATCAAAATATCCGAAAAATGCAAATCTCGATAAATCGAGAAATCAAAAAACTTAAAAATTCGAAAAATTGAAAAACTGAGAGATTGAAAGATCAAAAGAACGAGAAATCGAAAAGTGATGAAGTCGAAAAATCGAAAAATAGAGAAATCGACAAACAAAAAGTTAAAAGTTGAAAAATTGGAAAAGTGGAAAAATCAAAAAACGAAAAAATGGAGAACTGAAAAAACTGAGAAATCGAAATAGGCCAAAATAAAAAATTGAAAAACTGATAAATCGAAAACCTGAACAATCAAATCTCGATAAATCGGGAATGAAAAATTAACAAATCGAAAAATTGAAAAACAGAAAATCTAAAACTAGGAAGATTGAAAAATCTAAATTTTAAAAATCCAAAAATTGAAAAATCCAAAAAGTAAAAAGGTAGACACATCAAAAAATCCAGAAGTCAAAAATAGAAAAGCCGAAGAATTGAAATATTGAAAAATCCTAAACCTGAAGTATCTAAAAACTGAAAAATCTAAAAATGAAGTCGAAAAATAGAAACCTTAAAAAATGGAAAAATTGAAAAATCATAAACCCGAAAAATCAAAAAATTAAAGAATTGAAGAACAGGAAAATCGAAACACTCGAAGGTCAAGAAATGGAAAAATCAAAACATCGATTAATTGAAAAATCGAAAAATTGATAGTTTACGAAAGTCAAATTTGAAAAATTAAAAAATCGAAAATTTGACAAAATGACAATTGAAAAACAGAAAATCTTAAACCGGGAGGTCGAAAAATCAAAAGATTAAGAAATCGAAGCATTTGAAAAATTGAAAAATCGAAAATCTAAAAAGGTAGACACATCAAAAAATCCAGAAGTCAAAAATAGAAGAGCCGAAGAATTGAAATATTGAAAAATCCTAAAACTGAAATATCTAAAAACTGAAAAATCTAAAAATCAAAAAAATGAAGTCGAAAAATAGAAACCTTAAAAAATCGAAAAATTGAAAAATCAAAAACCCGAAAAATCAAAAAATTAAAGAACTGAAGAACAGGAAAATCGAAACACTCGAAGGTCAAGAAATGGGAAAATCAAAACATCGATTAATTGAAAAATCGAAAAATTGAGAGTTTATGAAAGTCAAATTTGAAAAATTAAGAAAACGAAAATTTGATAAAATGACAATTGAAAAACAGAAAATCTAAAACCGGGAAGTCGAAAAATCAAAAGATTAAGAAATCGAAGCATTTGAAAAATTGAAAAATCGAAAAAGTAAAAAGGTAGACACATCAAAAAATCCAGAAGTCAAAAATAGAAGAGCCGAAGAATTGAAATATTGAAATATCCTAAAGCTGAAATATCTAAAAACTGAAAAATCTAAAAATCAAAGAAATGAAGTTGAAAAATAGAAACCTTAAAAAATCGAAAAATTGAAAAATCAAAAACCCGAAAAATCAAAAACCCGAAAAATCAAAAAATTAAAGAATTGAAGAACAGGAAAATCGAAACACTCGAAGGTCAAGAAATGGGAAAATCAAAACATCGATTAATTGAAAAACCGAAAAATTGAGAGTTTATGAAAGTCAAATTTGAAAAATTAAAAATTCGAAAATTTGACAAAATGACAATTGAAAAACAGAGAATCTAAAACCGGGAAGTCGAAAAATCAAATGATTAAGAAATCGAGGCATTTGAAAAATTGAAAAATCGAAAAAGTTAAAAGGTAGACACATCAAAAAATCCAGAAGTCAGAAATAGAAGAGCCGAAGAATAGAAATATTGAAAAATCCTAAAACTGAAATATCTAAAAACTGAAAAATCTAAAAATCAAAAAAATGAAGTCGAAAAAAGAAAGCTTAAAAAATCGAAAAATTGAAAAATCAGAAACCCGAAAAATAAAAAAATTAAAGAATTGAAGAACAGGAAAATCGAAACACTCGAAAGTCAAGAAATGGGAAAATCGAAACATCGATTAATTGAAAAATCGAAAAATCGAAAAATTGAAAGTTTATGAAAGTCAAATTTGAAAAATTGAAAAATCGAAAATTTTACATAATGACAATTGAAAAACAGAAAATCTAAAACCGGGAAGTCGAAAAATCAGAAGATTAAGAAATCGAAGCATTTGAAAAATTCGAAAACTTGAAAAATTCAAATATCGAAGAACTCAACTGAAACATCGAGAAATCGGAAAATCTAAAATTTTAAAAATTAAAAAATCTAAAACTTAAAATCGAAAAATTGAAAAATCTAAAAAGTAAAATAATCGACACATCGAAAAATCCAGGAGTCAAAAATCGAAATGTCGAAGAATCGGAATATTGAAAAATCCCAAAACTGAGATATCGAAAAACTGAAAAATGAAAGATAAACTGAGAATCTAATAACCTGAAAAATGCGAAAACCGAAATATCCAAAAACTGAGAACCTAAAAAGTCGAAAAATTGAGCAATCGAAAAATCCAAAAAGTCAAGTCGAAAAATCGAAACCTTAAAAAAACTAAAAATGAAAAATCGAAAAATTAAAGAATTGAAGAACTCGAAACTCTCGAAAGTCAAGAAAATTTGAAAAATTGAAAAATCGAAAATTTGAAAAAACGACAATTGAAAAACAGAAAATCTAAAACCGGGAAGTCGAAAAATCGAAACATTTGAAAAATTGAAATATGGAAGAGCTGAAATGAAAAATCGAGAAATCGAAAAATCTAAAATTTTAAATATTGAAAAATCAAAATACCAAAAAATTGAGAAATCTAAAATTTAAAAATCGAAAATGTAAAAAGTCAACACATCGAAAAATCCAGAAACAAATGAAAAGAAAAACTGAAAAATCCAAAAACTGAGAACCTAAAAAGTCGAAAAATTGAGCAATCGAAAAATCCAAAAAGTGAAGTCGAAATATCGAAACCTTAAAAAAATCGAAAAATTTAAAAATCAAAAACCTGCAAAATCGTAAAATCGAAAAATTGAATAATAAGTAAACTGAAAAATCCCAAAACTGAAATGTCCAAAAACTGAGAAATCAAAAAATTGAAAAATTGAGAAATCGAAAAATAAAAAAGTGAAGTTGAAAAATCGAAACCTGAAAAAATAGAAAAATTGAAAAACCAAAAAATCTGAAAAATCAATCAATTGAAAAATCGACAAATAAAGAGTTTATAAAAGTCAAATATTGAAAAATCGAAATATTTAAAAATCGTGAAATTGAAGAGAAAAACTGAAAACCGAGAAATTGAAAAATTGAGAAATTGTAAAATCCAAAAATTAATTAATAAATAGAAACCTTAAAAAATCGAAAAATTGAAAAATCAAAAACCCGAAAAATCAAAAAATTAAAGAATTGAAGAACAGGAAAATCGAAACACTCGAAGGTCAAGAAATGGGAAAATCAAAACATCGATTAATTGAAAAATCGAAAAATTGAGAGTTTATGAAAGTCACATTTGAAAAATTAAAAAATCGAAAATTTGACAAAATGACAATTGAAAAACAGAAAAGCTAAAACCGGGAAGTCGAAAAATCAAAAGATTAAGAAATCGAAGCATTTGAAAAATTCGAAAACTTGAAAAATTCAAATATCGAAGAACTGAACTGAAAAATCGAGAAATCGAAAAATCGAAAATTTTAAAAATTAAAAAATCTAAAATTTAAAATCGAAAAATTGAAAAATCTAAAAAGTAAAATAATCGACACATCGAAAAATCCAGGAGTCAGAAATCGAAACGTCGAAGAATCGAAATATTGAAAAATCCCAAAACTGAGATATCGAAAAACTGAAAAATGAAAGATAACCTGAGAATCTAATAACCTGAAAAATGCGAAAACTGAAATATCCAAAAACTGAGAACCTAAAAAGTCGAGAAATTGAGCAATCAAAAAATGCAAAAAGTGAAGTCGAAAAATCGAAACCTTAAAAAAACTAAAAAATGAAAAATTGAAAAATTAAAGAATTGAAGAACAGGAATATCGAAACTCAAGAAATGGGAAAATCAAAACATCGATTAATTGTAAAATCGAAAAATTGACAGTTTATAAATGCCAAATTTGAA